CTATGCTAGGCGAGGTGACTGATTTTGGTCTTGCTGTATTAACTCCCAGGTTTTAGTATACTTCCAAGAGTTTGGAACAAATAACAGGTTGGAAACAACTCTAAAGTTATAAAATGATCAGCTCACTAGTAAGTACACTGAAATATACTTCAGGGTGAGAACCCTTAATACACTCAAATTACTAAAATTACAAATTAATTTTAACAGAAAAACTCTGTGGTTGTATTTTACAAACACACTAACCTATAAGAAATTGCTAATGATTCTCCTACAATTTTCTTTTCTCAGATTTCTAACTAGAGGGAATTAACAGTTCTTCTAAAAGATATAACAAGTAGCCAAATTGAAGTACCTTGTACAAAATCTTAAAACATGATCCGGAGAATAATTTATGACATCACTAATATTTACTGAGCACATTAAAAGACAAAGATGGGCCAGACGGGGTGTTTCCCTGGCAGTGCTTATAATCCAGTCGGCAGGATAAAATATTCCAGCTGAGCACTAGCACTATGCCGCCCTTAACGACTGATCCCAGAGCCGAGCCACCACTGCCGGCCTACCACAGGGGCTCACCATGCCTTACGGAATATAATGCCAATATGTAAAGTACAAAACCACACTACCAGCTGTAAGAAAGGAACAGGTTACTGAGGAGGCTAGACTCAGGAGAGCGCGCACCCAGGGAGGGTGGGGAAGGGGATAAGAAAAGGGTCAGGAAGGCGATCACACAATGTATCTGAAGACTGAGCTGGCGGTCACGGGCAGGGACAGGCTGAGGAGGGAAACGTGAGGCTACAGGTGGAGGGAAGCAGATCTGGGGCAAAGTGAGATAAAGCTCGTTAGTGCTTTGGGGACAAGTTACTGCTTATGTTGTGAAGAACTCTGAACAATCAGCCGAGTTGGTCTAGTAAGCATAGACCCTTCAAGATGTTTGAAAAAAGAGCATTTTTGGATTTATATAAATGTCAGAGAAGAAAAGTTCTTAGTACTGAGGCGTGTTACGTAACAGTCAGACCAGGGGTCAGTAAATATTTTCTGTAAATAACCAAATAGAAAGTATTTGTAGACTTTGGGGACCATATGGTCTCTAGTACAATGATTTAATTCTACTATTATAGCGGAAAAGCAATCATAGACAATGCACAGATGAACAAATATGTCTGCATTCAGATAACATTTGCTCACCCACTTAAGGGTCTGTGATCTTGTTAGTTAATTAACAAAACGATGTGAGGTGTGAGGGGAGCAGAGACCCATTTACATGTCCCCCCATTAGCCACTTAAACAAGAGGGCAAATCAGAATGGAGAGGTTGCTAGGCAATTTGAAAAAGATTCTTCACCCATGATGCTGTACCATTCACGGTGTTTGTTTAGAGTTACTGCCATAATAGCTAGAGAAACAGAACTTACCTACTTAAGATATATATTGCTAAATGTTAAATGCGGCAGAACACAAGTACTATAGTGAATTCAATGGTGAAATAACCATCGAGGACTTTCCCAAGAGATAAGAGTGGCTTCAAATTCTTGAGTAGAGAAATACATTTTAGAAAGTCAGTAATTTCACCAGATAACAAGTATCCATTATGTAGGTTTTGGGAAAAGCAGTGACTAAGACAGATATAAATCCTGCTGCCTTGTTCAATTCCTGATCCACTGTGAGCCTGGAGTTTTATAAGGTACTATCCATTATGCTTTTTCAAGTTATTCTGTCTATTGGCTGCTCCCCAATTTTCTTTCCTGGGGAGACACACATCAGATTGGAAAAGCACCTGATTTCAAAAGCAGCAGTGGCTAGTTCACACCTGCAATTCACATGTGCCCTTGCGACCCCTCAGAGAGACATTAAGAGAGATGTAACCGTTTACTAGATGTCCTGTTATTAAACTCACATTACAGACCTCAAAGGATGACTTGCTACAAGTAGGATGAGCATCAGCAGAACCGCTTTGGATGAGCTCTAGTCAGTGAAGGGACATGAACATGGCCCCCGATGTGCCACCTGGTCCTGGGGTCATTCTGAGCTGAAGGCCATCCTGCCCAGCAGAGACAGAAACCCCCTTAGCCTCCTTAAGGTAGGTGGCTGAGCCCGGAAAGACAGCGATTACCGGAAGCGACTTTCATCTGAATCACCCACCTGCAGGGCAGGGCAGACACCTGCTCTTAGTGTCCTGTGAACTACCCTCCTCCCCCTGAAGCCCAGGCCCTCTCCCACTCCTCAGCTCAGGGCGGCACAGAAACCTCAACTGCATGACCTGCCCTTGGGTCTCACATTCTTATGGACCCCTGTACATAATGTTTAAATCTTTTTCCTCCTGTCAATCTTTCTTATGTTAATTTTATTATTGGAACCTAGATAGGTAGATAAAAATTTTTTTCTCCCCAACAACAGCTTAATAAAGAGAGCAATGTTCATTTTAAATCAAAATGATATTTTAAAGACTAGGACCACTTTGAGAACAATTATGCCATTAAAAATTGTCAAAATTGCCAAAAAAATTTGTTAATCATGAATTATACTTATGTGATTTTTTAAAAGTTTTTATAAGTCTACTACTAATAGGATAAATGTATGTACTATTATATAGCTACTTAACTATGTTCTAAGCACTTTACTTTTACTTAACACATTCAATCCTCACAATTCCCACTGTGCACAGGAGAAAATGGAAACACAAGGTCTACAAATAGTAAGAAACCCAATATGGATTCACACCCAGGCAGTGTGGCTTCAGACTCCTGGTCATAAGTAAATAATACTAACTTGGGGTGAAAAGCAAATATAAATAACTTGCGTAGTTCTTTCACATTTACACGTCAAATATGTTAGATAACACTGATATCTTTTATACTTATACTAGTGGCCTGGTGCACAAATTCATGCACATTGAAAGAAAATTAATTAGAAGATATATTTTATATCGCTATTCACCCTTTCTCTATAATAGAAGTGTCAACCAAAGTCACAATAGACAATGATATTTGGGAACACACGTGATTGGTGCCAGCGAGAGCTTTATATGTATTGCACATGCACGAGTCAACTTAGCCTTTTATAGATATAGAACAAACTTGCTTAATCAGACCTGCTTTGTGATTTAGCTAAACTTTTTCCAGCCCAGTGAAGCACCCCAATTTCTCTTTCAGGTAATTGTCAGCAACACAGCAGTAAATATCAATACAAAGCAGATTATTATTATAGATCACGCAGGGAGAACAAAGGGTAAAATATTTAACTGCAGCAGTGTTTGACTATATTCTGCACAGTGAGAAAACCTGAAGTCATTTTCAAGGTCCACCATTTCTTACTTCTTTTCAGTTGGGTCAAGTTTCTAAGCTTTCTAAGTCTCCGTTTTCTGGCTAATGAAAAAAGAAAATAGGATTTCACCGAGTCTCCTATCTTCCTACTCCAGGACTTCTGTGAGGATCAAATGAGATGAGGCATGGAAAACGCTTCACAGACATTTGGTTAAAGTGTAAAGTATTTCCACCTGGCTATAAAACAAGTTGTGTTCCTGGGCTGACGAAACTGCAAGGAGGCTAGTTGCTAGGGGGAGGAAGCCGGGCATTGCTATGTGACGTCATTACCCAGATGGTCAGACACTTAGCATATTAGCCTTTCATACACACACTCACACACACACACACACACTCCCTTATAGTATATATATATATACTCCCTTATAGTAGACTGCTTAAATAGGTATTATTTCATTCACATAGATAACTAAATTAGATTAAATTCAACCTGACCAACTAGAACAACAGAATGCATTAGGTACAAGTATATAGTAGTGCATTTCAATCCTAAAGAGACCAACAGCAGAGAGCATTACCCAGTGTTTATTGTGTACTGGACTAGGTACACCATGAAATAAAACTGCTATTTCAACATGAAATTAATTCAAAATCGTGTAGCTTCGAAGTGGCACAATTAGGATTAGAATTCATACTGGCCTAACTCCAAAGCCTCTTTTCACTACTGTGTTGCATAGCTTAACAACAGAAAATGAGGAAAACAAAAAGACATTTTGTATTTTCTTGATAGCAAGATCAACATACCTCTGGGCATGTGCCCTAACCTGGCATCATCAGAAAATGAGGAAAACAAAAAGACATTTTGTATTTTCTTGATAGCAAGATCAACATACACCATGAGCCGCTTAACGCTGGGGAGGGATTCTTTCTGAGAGATGTGTCATTGTGAAGTGATTTCCTCACTGTGTGAACATCCCAGAGGCATCTACACAGACCTGGATGGTGCGGCCCACTGCACACCTTGGCGGCATGTACAGCCTATTGCTCCTGTTCAGCACGTTATTATACTGGATACTGTTGGCAGCTGTAACTCAAGGGTATTGTGTATCTACACACAGAAAAGGTGCAGTGAAAATACAGTATAAAAGATAGACAGCACTGACCACACACAGACTGTAGAGGACTGGGAGTTGTGCTGGGTGGGTGGGTGGATGAGCGAGTGAGAGGCCTTGGACATTACTGTCTTAGACTAACGTTATAAAATGATGCAATCAGAGATGATCGAGAGGGAATATGACAATGATAACTATTTTGAAATAACTGAAGAGCTATTACGTGGAGTAAGAGACATGGGATTCTGGCTCAAAGTAAGAAAGGAAATCATCAAGAGGTGTCACACTGAAAGGTTCAGTTAGAATGGAACACCAGACGTCAGAGATTTTGCAGGGACTCATCAGCAGGGCAGGAGTCAGACACAGTTCATTCCCTGCCTCTACTTCAGATGAGAGCAGTTTGGCTTTCCCATGTTTTGTGGGCATTCCGTGTTATATTTTTTTCTTTTTTTTGGAAGGGGGTGTCCTCCTGCTGTAAAATTCTTAAATCCAGTGGATTAGATAACATTGAAAAATTTCTTTCTACTCAAATTCTATATTCCTGACTGGTTTTGATTAATGTTAAGAACATAAACTCATATCTTCCTTTTACTTGTTAAAGTCAAACAAAAACAGACCCAACATACCATTTTTTTCTGCGAAGGCCATTGCATCTTCTTTGGTGCTGAAGGTTAGAACCATGTTGGACAAGGGATCAGCCCTGAAAGAAGCAATTTTTTTCCAGGATTTAACATTAAATTTTGGCTGAAAAAACAATCAATACTTAAAGTAAAATGTTTAGAATATAAACAATTGCTATAATAATAAATAAGTACAGTACTGATGAAATATCTTATTTGGAATAAACTCTTTAAAATTCTTAACTGGTTGAGTATCAGATTGCTAACTGTTCCTCTCAATGAGACTGTATATTCTGAAGGGGACGGTGCCTTCTGGGATAGTGATTTTAAACTGGTCCCTGGGCAACACAGACGCAGACAGAGGCTTTGACCCCTTCCTTCTCTGCATAAGAGATGCAGATGGAGAGGCCTGCTCCACGGAGGAGGCTTGGCGTCTGCACGAGACTAAATCAACGGAGGATGGGGGCGGGAAGGCACAGGCAGGCCTGGGAGCTGAGCACGCGCGTCCCACTGTTGCTGGTCACCTGGTAGGAATTTGCCCTCCACGTTTGTTCCACTCTTCCTCAACTACCTATAAATCACTCATTTTGACTTTTGAAATCTAAGATCTTGTTACCCCTTTTCTCATTTTCCAAAATGACATTTATACCCCAAACTGGCATATTAATCAATCAGAGGTTCACCAAAAGACATGTACAAGAATCTCCATTTTATTTTATGCATAATAGCCCCAACTAAAAACTAACCAAATGCTATCAGTAAACAGTGCAATGGATGAATTTTGTATAGAGATGAACACATTAAAATCTCATGTGACTTAACAAAAGATAATCATAGCATTTCAAGCATTGGGTATGGAAAAAGTTGTTCCTTATAAATTTCTTTAGTCTCTACAAACATGTGATTTACAACACTTCCATGAAATATAAAATCTAAAGATACAAAATACCTAAAATCGTGCCTATACTTCACTTTGCCAAGCAAAATGTAATTCTATTTAAATTTCCACACCTGAGATGTTTTTAACAAACATTCTCCCAGTTACATCGACAGGAAAGACAAGTTGAATGTCACACTTTTCTAAGTGAGACAACTGAAGGTGATAAGAATCTTCAGCTCTCGCCTGGACACACATGACATTCTAGGAGGCCCAGGCAGAGCGGAGTCTTCTCGCTTATCTGGCTGCTTCTCTAGTAGCAGCAGCTTTTATCCAACTCGAGGCAGTCCTGCTGGTTAACATTTGGGCCACATTCCACAATAGAGATTTAGGTCACTGATTTCATTGGGGCCACAGAATTTATGACCACTTTTTTCCAGTGCACCGTGCATTTATTAGTCACAAATCTCAGAAACTTATAAGTTTCCTTCAAAATAGCCAGTACCTAATCTTATCTAGTCTTCTCCCCTTACAAACAAAAACATACCTTATTAAGAAGTTTTAATTTCAAAGTAAGTGAAGTGTTACTAATTATTAACACTACATACCCAGTGCATCTTAAACAAATGCAAACAGCTTGGGGAGTGTGCTAACAACGCTCACAATGTCAGCCATTTTTTATCTAATAAAGAGTACTCTGAAAACAACTGACTAGCCCAGTGATGGCGAACCTTTTGAGCTCGGCGTGTCAGCATTTTGAAAAACCCTAACTTAACTCTGGTGCCCTGTCACATATAGAAATTTTTTGATATTTGCAACCATAGTAAAACAAATTTTTGATATTTATTTTATATATTTAAATGCCATTTAAGAAAGAAAAAATCAACCAAAAAAAGGAGTTTGCGTGTCACCTCTGATACGTGTGTCATAGGTTCACCATCACTGGTCTATGGTTTAATATATGAATATTAAACAGGTATATTATATATAAACTAGAGGCCCAGTGCATGGATTCATGCACAGAGGAGGGGGGGAGAGGAGGGGCAGGAGTTCCTCAGCCTGGGCTGCACCTTCTCGTAATCTGGGACCCCTTGGGGGATGTCCGACTGCCAATTTAGGCCTGATCCCCGCAGGCTGCCAGGGAGGAGCCCAAGCTGGGGCAGGTGCTGCAACGCTCGCAGTCATCCGGGCCCGCTGTGCCTGCGCCACTGCCCGCTGCCAGAGTCGAGTTGGGAGAGGCTCCCGCCGCTGCAGCTGCGCTCGCCGGCCGTGAACCCGGCTTCTGGCTGAGCAGTGCTCCTCCTGTGGGAGTGCACTGATCACCAGGGGGCAGCTCCTGTGTTGAGCGGCTGCCCCCTGGTGGTCAGTGCACATCATGAGACCGGTCGACCGGTTGTACTGGTCATAATGGTCACTGAGGCTTTTATATAGATAGATATGTCTACATCATAGAACACAGTGATATCTACACAAAACTACACAAAAAGCACTGTACATGAAGGAGTGTTAAAATCAGTATGTTTAAAAGGAAAATCTACATAGAAAAAGAGCTGAAAAGCTATTCAAGTGAAACCAAAGCACTCACGTGGATGCCCAGCCCATCAAAGGGTTCTCCCAGCGCTCCCTGGTGTCGAACTCCATCTTCCACTTCTTGGTGTTGTTCACCCCAGACTGCATGTTGTTGCGCGCAGGAACGAAGATCCTGACTTTCCGGGTCTTGATGTGCTCCTCGGGGACGCCAGTTAAGGTAGTGATGTCCTACAGAAAACACGCAAACGCGTTTCTGATAGCTAGTGCTTACTTGTAGGACCGCTCTAATCAATGCTATGGGCCAAAGGACTAGTATAAATACTTAGTGCTGCCATATGTATTGGGAAACAGTAAGTGTATCTCTGATTCAACTAGTCTTTCTACCCACAGATTAAAAACACAATTCTTTAAAGTTATTTTAGCTCTCAACCAATCCTCTGCTTAACACAGTACCTTTCTACCTGCTCCAGTAATTAAGTGTGGTTACGTCGTCACAACTTGTGTTTGGAGGAACTATAAAAATGATCCACATAAATATTTACAAAAATATGCACTTGTAATACTTGCTTACATTTTTTAACACGTATTTTTATAGAGGATAAAATTAAAACAAAATGAGTGCAATTGGTACATACTTTTAAAGATATGAGTATGTTTTCATTGTGTTTTTAAAATACATTTTTATTGATTTTTAGAGAGGAAGGAAGAGGGAAAAAGAGAAAGAAACATCAATTTGAGAGAGAAACATCACACCCTGCCTTGTACAAACCCATCACCAGGGATGGAGCCTCAACCCTGGGCATGTGCCCTAACCTGGCATCAAACCAGCAACCTTTGGTGCATGGGATGACGCTCAACTAACTGAGCCACACCGACCAGGGTTTAACTGATCATTTTAATTGTCAAGTTCACTTCAAAGAAAAGGAATTCCCAGTATAATTACATTTAATGGCTTTCTGAAACATATTCCTCAACTCAAGAGCTTGCAAAGGACTCAGCTTCTGGAGAGTCCTCAATACTTATTTCCGCTTTTGAATTCCGTATAGTTTTGTAATCTGTCATATTCACTTATTATTCAACATTTTGTATCTTTATATTAATATTAGAGGCCTGGCGCATGAAATTCATGCACGGGTACGGTCCCTAGGCCTGGCCTGCAATCACGCCCTGGCCCCCGCCGCACCCACCCCTGGTTCCCTGTTTGCCATCGGGTGATCAGTGCCTGATGGCCAGGGAAAGGGACTGAGAGGTCAGCTGTTCCCGCCTGCTCGCCAGCCCCGCCCCCACCACTGGTGGCCATCAGGCGATTGGAGCCTGCCGGCTGGGGAAAGGGACCAAGAGGTGGTCAGTGCGCCTCATAGTGACTGGTCCAGCAGGCGGTCTGCTGTTAGGGCCAATTTGCATAATACCCTTTTATTATATAGGATAGAGGCCTGGTGCACAGGTGGGGGCTGGCTGGCCTGCCCTGAAGGGGGCCCCGGATTGGGGTGGGGGTTCCGGCTGGGGGTAGGGCCGGCCTGGGCAAGGAGCCTCGGGTGCTTTGTAGACCATCCACACCCCCATCAGGTGGGGGTCGCCACTGGGGGGTGGGGCCAGCCTGGGCGAGGGGCTGTGGGCAGTTTGCAGGCTGGCCACGCCCCCGGCTTTGTCATGATGGACATCCGGAAGGGTCTATCCGGTCTAATTAGCATATTACCCTTTTATTAGTATAGATAGATGTTCTGTTTCCAAAGTTACAGTTTAAGCTTAAACTGGGTATAAAGAAACAAAGTTACAAAATTATGGGGTGAGGATTCTTTACCAAATTACACAGCAACCTCTTGAGTATGAGCTGAATTTGTATGAACTGGACGATGGACATCCGGAAGGGTCTATCCGGTCTAGTTAGCATATTTCCCTTTTATTAGTATAGATAGATGTTCTGTTTCCAAAGTTACAGTTTAAGCTTAAACTGGGTATAAAGAAACAAAGTTACAAAATTATGGGGTGAGGATTCTTTACCAAATTACACAGCAACCTCTTGAGTATGAGCTGAATTTGTATGAACTGGAACGATCCATTGGCTGTTCTCTAAAGAAGATCTCCAGGAAAGGAAACACGATACACTTACTCTGTGCACTAGACACCTCAGGAAGGTGGGATCACAGAAACAGGCTTTTTCTTCATAAACTTCAGTTAGTTTATATAGGAACTTACACAGTAATTAAAAAAACAATAAAGCTTTTAAAAATGGAAACAGTATTTCTTGATTTGTACTAGCTACTAAAGTGCAAAGTTTTTTAGGATGGAAAACCCCTTTAAAGTGAGAAACTACCAAATGTTGCTAAGCTCTTTATATTTTGAACTCCTGACTACCAGCTTCCAAAAATTATGGCAATTATTTATCGCTATCTTCCCCCAATTTAAAGCAGAAACAAATGGGTTTCTGAATTCTGAAGCGCAGTGTCGGACACACAGGCCTGCATGTAGGGCTGTGCACGTAGCTGACACAGAGAGGCCCTGAAGCCCTGAACTCCTAGTCCCTGCAGGAACACTCTCAGTCTAGACAAACTGATTTCTCACACTTGTAAAATGCATTACGACACTCTATTGTTACCATTTCATCCACACAGCTCAGCCAGTGACAGAAGAACCTGTCCTTTAAGGACATTTCAATGGGAAAACTCCCACTCCAAGATTCTATTAAAACAATGCAATCCTTGAAAAGAACCGGGAGGCACTGTGTTGAACTCGTTACTTGTGTCATCAATGCGTTGCTTTACCTCAAGTTCTCAATGGCCTACCTGTGACTCAACCTTTGCAATAAACAAACAAACAAACAAACAAATAAATACAATCTGTAAATGCCTTACACTCTGCTGAACTAATGATATTCTTTTCTCTTGTGTAGATTTCTACTTCTGTGTTGCACTAGATCATCTGTCATTTTTTAAAGGCTACTTAGAAAAGAGGGCAGTGCTCTGAAGATGTCAATATTGCCTTTCACAGAGTTCTGATTTTATTGGTAAAACAGAAAACCATAAATAATCCATACGTTTTCTAGGATTACAAAACCTTCCGTCAGATAGGGTATGAGAAGCCTTCAAGTTGGCTCTTTAGGAACCTCAAAACTCACCAGTTAATAATTATCTGTAAATTCTAATAAATCAAGTTACTTTATAGATAATATACACACACTAAATTTTAAAACTTAAAATTTTTAAGCGATTGGGTCAAATATGAAACCTATATTCCTATTATTAAAGAATGTTACTATCTAAATAGAATAAAGTTTCAGAAACACAATCTCATGTAAATGTGCCATTTTTTAAATAGTGACAAATCATGATTCAGAGATTAAAGGGCATTCAAACAGAATTTGCTACTGAAAAGATGCATCTCCCAGTTCCAAAGTCCTACTCTCTCAGGGCATCTGCCACAATTTCTAACTCTGTGAGCAAAGCCTGACCTTCCACGCCACAAGTGTGCTTCAGTGAAAGAGAAATGTTAAAAATCACTAAGAAAGTATATGCCAGCATATGTAAATGAACTTTATTCTTTCAAATACCAACTTTCGTTATAAAATATTAGTTTTCCACATAAAAACTGTATGATTCGGTTATCAACTGTTCCCATTTATCTTGTGTGAATTCTTTTTTTTTTTTTTAAACAAAGGAAGCAGGGAACAAGCAATGGGAAGTTGGTGTCAAAATGCCGACAAACCTCCCAGCAAGCCTCCTGCAACCACCCAGGATTGAGAGTCTTGCTGGCCTCTCTCTTTTCAATACCAGAATTTCACACATTTCAATGACTATTATGACTTCAAAGAATCAAATTTTCATCATTGTCCATCATCTGGCGGTTGATCTGTATAAAGGAGTTCTTCTGCATGCACCCCAAACAAAAGCCTCCGTACTTCTGTGGCTATATATCAAGTGTAAAGGTTTATTTGTGACAGTCGTGTCTTTGGTAAATTAGGGTAACACTGAGGGAGTGCAGCTGCCCGGCAGGAACCTCCTTTTTGGCACCATTTCACTTAAATAAAAACTGAATAATTAGCTTCTGCCTTTATTAAACCACAAAAATGCCACTGGCCTTCGTAATTACTTCCGGTTGCCCCACCCACTTAACCTTAATAGTTTACACTTGTCATAAAGAGAAATAAATGAAAAAGGGTTTTGCCAATGGGTAAATTTTTGATAGGTCTCTCAGTATACTCAAAAGAACCAAAATTTTTACCAGGCTTTTTTGGTAATAAGTGCGACTAAATTGCTTGTTATTATAGATCAATGCTGAAAACGTTTTAATAGAGCACATACTGGGACACTACAAATACTGCTTACAGAAACGTGCTCTGTTGGAGGCTACTGGCTACCAATTACGTGTTTAAATTTATTTTAGAGCTGAACTGATCTAAATTTGGTGATTGTGTTTATATTCTACTTCAACCATGAAAGAAGTTAAAAGAGAAACCATCTTAGATCTGTAACAAAATCTTTAAGTACCCTACAGATACCTAACCCAAGAAACTCATTAAAGGGTCTCATAAACAATAAAGGGCATTTTATAAAATAAATTTTACAGTTTGAAAAATACAAAAAGCTGACAGCATGCTGTGAATTACTCACCACAGCGGAACTTTGAACACTGCAGAGAATGAGTGGCCACAGTGATTCAGATACAATCAGACTGAGAACAGAGGTGCCAGGAGAACCAGCTTTGTCTGCCAGAGCACACACGGTGGGAGTCCCACCAGGAAGGAAACAAGGGTCGCAATGTGACCCCATTATGTCTTGCATACTGTAAGCTACCATGGAACCCAAAGTAAAGTTTTAAATGGAATGTTGTTAAGATAGAAAACGATCACACAAATGACACTGCTAATCATACAACGAGTAGGAAATTAAGAAATTAAGAGCTGTGTCTCCATCCCAAACTCCTGTCAGTACCCAGGTGGCCCTTCTGCAGGGAACGGGTGCAGCAAAGGCTAAACCAAAGGGCCGAGTCAAAACTGGTCAGAATCCCAACTCGCAACGTTGGCAGATGAAAACATCTCCTAATTCAGCATCTATAAAGTCAATTAAATGAAGTATAACAAGGACTAAGTAATGTATGTAAAGTGCTTATATTGCACAATAAAAAGAATGTGTCTCTTTAATTCAACATATATTTCAGAACCTGTATGTATTAGACGCTGGACACAATGCTCAACAGTACAGACAAGACCTCTAGACTCTTAAAAATCACTA